TGAGTGGTTGGTTTCGTCAATAGAGGAAGGGATGTGCATTGACGTGTAGCAGAAGCCGATTCATTGTTGTTGCGGAAGCGGATCGTCTCTTCCCTCCCTAATCTCTATGTCAGACAGACCCATTTAGTCGATTTTGCTCTCAGTTCTCATTCGTTTCCATTTCTTCTTCCATTTTGGGTCCTTTGAGTTTTCGTGCGTCTCTGTGGGATGGGAACATTTGGTTAATTGGGCTAAATGAAGAAACGATCGAGAATTCAGAGCATTTTACAAATTGGGGACTCTCTCTTAATTGTCATTGTTTATAGCTCCCTCAATATTGATGATTCTCCTACAAAGAAGTACGGATTGCCAATCAGGGAGATTGGTAATCAATTACGGACATAAAAAGGTTGCCCTTCTTATTTTTACCCAAGCCTCTTTGCCTACTTTGGACGAGAGGTGATAATTTAATTTTGGATTTGTATTCCCTATCCTGGGGATGTTTAGCGTTTAATTTTGGATTATGGGTTCTGTTTTGATGAGCCGGAGGAAGAATGATGTTTCAGGACTCTGTTTGGCTTATGATTGTTTCAATCGATTACTGTTTGATTCTAGGGTTGAGAATTTGTGTTATTTGTCTCATCGCCTAGAAATTCAGTGTTCCTTTTGGTTTTGTTGTTTCTCTTATTCGGCTTCACTGTTGTTTGATATTCGCTGCTTCCACAAAATATAAGCACTTATAGATTTCACACACCCAAGATACAACCACGAGTACATATTTCGCTTATTCTTCTCCTACTTCTTATGTGCAGAATGGCAAAGTTCAGATTGATTTGTATGTCTGGCTTTGGTCTCTATGACCAGAACCGATGCCCTGTATGCCCCAATTACATATGTGACCAGTGGCGTACCGAAAGATCTGGTGATGGAACTCTGATCATTGACATTGGCATTCAAGTTTATGGGTTGTTGATTTTGTTCATAAAGCTGTTATCTTTATTCATAATTCTTTGGTTTGTTTGTCCAGCTTACTTGGATTGAAGCCCACCAGCCTACAATTCGACAAAGTGTATGCTTGATGAAGCTTTGTCAAGAGATGTCAACAACCACAAAGCCCCTCAAACCAGAGTCTTAAAGTGATGTTGAAGGCACACCATCCCCCACTCAATGCTTACAAGAACGAACCAGGATACTAATGCCCGCTTCGAACAACAACGAGAAACTTCTGGCCGTCACATCATTGCAAATGCAAGTAACAACAGACAAATGAAAAGCTCCCAAGTACTCAGTACATTCAGTTATGCACATAGTCATTACACAACAACGATACTTTAATTATATTACAAACTTTAGGTTTTTCATCATACTCATGTTTGTGAAGTACAGTGTTGGTCCCAAATGACTATGTTATGATGTGTTAACCATTGTAAATTTTAATAATCTACATCTAAACTATTGTCTGTCAAGAGTATATATGGTAATTTCAAAACATCAACAGAAAATGGAGACACATATAATCGGTAAGTATAATGATAAGGATAATAAACGACCCATCAAATACCCGTTGACGACAAAAAAAGGAAAAGTGGATGGCCCCCGAACAACAGTTATCCCGGCCAAAGGCCGGGCAAGAAGCTAGTTTTTTTAATGCAAAAACTTTGGAGAGTTGCTCCTCTAGTTCTCTCGCCGCTGCAAATTCTTCCGTTACCATCAGCTGGGAGAGAAAGAGGTAAAAAAAGAAGAAGGAAAAAACAACAGAGGGAGAGGAGATAAATCGGCAAAAAAAATGTCGAGCTGGACGATCGCTTTCAAGCCATTCCACATCCCAGCATTCATCAACCTCCCATTCCGTCATCCCCAATTCGCCATCGGCGGTGTTTTTGTCGGCTCCACCGCCACCCTCCGCCGCTCTTCCTCTCCTTTCGCTTCCATGTCCACCTTCACCCTCCCCTGTAAATTCTCTTATCTCTCCCGTTTCCATTTCCTGCTTTCCCAGTAGGGTCTCGCGTCAATTGATCATCTCTACTGAACTGAACCCTATTTTGGACTCCCCTGCTCCGACTTTGTATTTTGCTGTCTATTGTAACGGCGATGCTGATGTTTAGTTAACTGGGTCTTCGCCGCGCTTTGTTGGTTGTTGAAGAGGGACGACACCGATCTCTACCCATTTAGTTTAATTCTTCCCTTGTTTGATTTTTTTTTCTTCTTCTGTCCAAGTGTCTACCTTTTAGTGTTTGCAGCTTAGGGTTCATCATAGTTCATAGTCGCTTGAGATTGGTAACAGTTTGTTCTCCGATTGCTGCAGCCAAAAAAGAGGCTGTCAAGACTGAAAAGGCGCCGGCCGCTCTTGGCCCTTATTCTCAAGCTATCAAAGTCAACAACCTTGTGTTTGTTTCTGGGGTTTTAGGCCTCATTCCAGAGGTATCATATCCATGTCATTTGAACTCTTCTCTTGTTTCTTAATTCCAGGAAATGGTCTTGGAATAATATTGGTCTAGTACATTTGTTCAGCTATTTGGCTTCCTTGTTCTAATCTTTTTGTCAAATTACTTGTTCTAATCTTGGTTCCCTCTATATTCAGACTGGGAAATTCGTCTCCGAGGATGTCGAGGGTCAGACGGAGCAGGTAAAGATGCCTCCCCTTTTGTTTTAGAGGGTGTTTCTACATACACGCTGGGATGTTGTGCTTGTTCTAATGTTGCTTGATTCTTTCACTGGCATGGCGCTAACAGATCCTCAAGAACATGGGAGAGATTCTGAAAGCTAGTGGCGGGGACTATTCCTCAGTCGTCAAGACGACTATCATGTAAATGGTTCCTCTGTATTTTGTTCGGTTTGCCCATACAAGGGTTTGAATCCCAGAGTTTCAGATGTGAAAGCCCTTCTTCTTTTACGATTCTTGCTTCTTATTGTATTTTGTTTTCGTCGCAGGTTGGCTGACTTGGGCGACTTCAAGAAAGTGAACGAGATCTATGCAAAATGTAAGTATATAATTATGCATGAGGCGCTTGCGCTGCAGTCTACAGGCTGATGCTAATATTTCCAGGCAGTTCATATGAAGCCCTTGTGACTGCTTACCTAGTTAGTAGCACTATATCTACTGTGGAAACAGCTTACTCCACTATATGGGATAAATAGTTCCATTGTTTCTGTTGCTTCTTTGGCTTGGAACTTTGAGTTGACTAAATTAGAGACATGTCCAACAACTTTACTTGAAAACTTAGCAGGAGAATAAGATCATATTGTTGGAGAGAAAAATTTACCTTCTTCTCTTTCTGTTTGCAGACTTCCCTGCTCCGTTCCCAGCTCGATCAACATATCAGGTAGCAGCATTGCCCTTGAATGCCAGGATTGAAATCGAGTGCATTGCCGAACTTCCTCAGAAGATCGAGGCTCAGCCTGTCTAGGTAAAAACAAACTTGAATGTATTCTTAGAAACTAGAACTGAACAATAAGAGAGAACGGGGAGGGGTCTCAATAGATGACAATTGATCACTAGGCGTTTTCAGTTGCAACCCTCTTGAATATCTGTGGCCACAAAACTGTTGTCCAGTTTGTTGTGATTCAATAGAGAGGGTAACCGTCCCTGTAAAAAATTTATGGTACTGCTACAGTGCTACTGCACCCAGTTAGAGTTGAATTTGTTATGGAAGCAGCACTAGTTATCCGCTGTTTCATGTTTTTACGTATGAATGAGATTTCTAGGCGGTTTAATCCGTGTCGGATCATGCATTTGCAGTCGAAAACCTCCCACTGGAGTGCACGGTGCACGCTAACAAACCTGCAGTTTGTATATTGGAAGTGGGGAAAGCAAAAGAATAACTTGGAGCTTCCTATGGCTGAGGCTGAGGCTGAGGCTGAGGCTGTGGAGCGCTCTTGTGATAGTGTTCCAGATTAAGCAGCCAGTGGTCATTTGTTGCGTCTGTTGTTTGATGATGAATCGATATGGTGAATGCAATGCTTCTATTCAACCAATTGTACGAATGAGTTGGTAAGGATCAACCTAAGAAAGAATAAGCCTTTACAAGAAAAAATTTGGTAGCCCTATAACCCAAGAAAAAACGTTAGTGCATCAAATAGTATTCGAATTTCCTTCAAGGTGGCTCCTCCTAAGTCATGGGTCGTCTCTTTCTCCCGAACGCGACATATCAATGATTGACAATCACTATGCAAATTAACAACAAGAAAATTATGAGTTAGACACCAATTAATCGCATCACAAAAAGCTAAAAGCTCGATAATGAAAATGTCATTCGATATGAAGCCAAGACCAAAACTAAAAGTACCTTCAAAACTGACGAAACCTATAATACCATCCATCATGACCTCAGCTCATGTACCCAACAAACAATTGGGCTTCTTTGTTTGACAGCCCAGCCCATCAATAGAAGCGGCCCAGAAACTCTTAAAGCCAAGGTTGTCAACCCGCGGGTTGATCCACGGGTCGACCCAATTTGACCCTGACCCGGTGAGAAAAACGGGCCGTACGCACCCGCCGGGCCGACCGCTATAAGGTACCGGGTTGGGGTACCGGGTTGGAGGTCAAATTGTGTCATTTTTTCTTTAGTTTGCGAAATGTGCCTATTTTCCAATTTTTCTTTTCGCCTAACTCAATCTTTGGAATACTAAGTTGAACATTTGAATATTTATGTTAAATAAGTGTGTGTGAATTTTCACTATATGTCGGATCTAAGTACGATATGTTATTTTGGTGTAATATTATATGTTATAACTCATATGTTAGATAAAATTTGATATAATTTATGAGGATAAGTACAATATAATGACTCTTTCTATATTTCCGGGCCAAACCGGGCTAAAACGGTTGACCCATTAACCCTTGACCCACTAGCTCGACCGGGTCCGGGTCAACCCACGGGTTGACAACCTTGCTTAAAGCAAAACACGAAAAATGGCAACCCTCTTTTCAGTTTTCACTTTTCACCAACAAAGTAAAATTACAGATTTCGAACAGTAAAAAATTAGGGATTTATCTTCCTTGCTTCTATTTGCCTACTTCCATGTCGGCCGATAACAGCACCTCCGCTTCCGATCGGCCGCCAAGCTCACGTTTTGTGCCTTGCGGCTCCGGGAAACGTTGCCGGATCCCTTCGACAGAACCAAACCCTCCTCCGAAGATCCGTACGCTCGGGGACGATCTCCTCGTCGAAATTCTGATTCGCCTACCGAACCCTAGATACTCCTGCCGATGCAAAGCCGTCTGCAAGGGATGGAGGTCCCTCATCTCCAGTCCCCGCTTCAACCGTAGTTTCATTTCTCGCCACCGGAGCAGGAACCAACCATCTTCTCTGCTTCTAACCTCAGACGACTCCCAATCGATCATCAATAGCTTTCTACCACGCATGAGTTTTGTTGCCCAAATCAGTTTCTCAGTTCTGGATTCCTACAAGGACTTGGTTTTGTGCGGGTTTTACAGTTACAACAGTAGCGATTGGTACAGATTGTACTTCATCTGCAATCCGCTCACGGAGCAATGGGCCGCACTTCCGTTGGCGCCTGAATTGGCAGCTAATTGTCTTCCAATGTGTACAAGGTTAGTCTGTGAATCCCGCATTTCTAATAATCTCGATCTAGGAGATGACCAAGTCTTTGTTTATTCTTCGGAGCATCGGTTCCGCGTGGTGTCTGTGTACAGAGAAGACCGATTCTCCTTGAAACTGAACGTGTTTTGTTCGGAGTCTCGGGAATGGACGAAGGAAGCTCTTGTTATCGATGATAGATTTGCACGCTCGCCAAACAACATGCTTTCTTGCAACGGGGAGTTGTTTTGGCTTGATCTTGTCCAGGATCCAGGTCCTATCCCTTTGTTTAAGCCTGTAGTTTTTGCTTTCGATCCTTTCCGTCCCGATATACCTCCCTCTGCCATTGATGCTCCATCAGGCGGTGTGAAGCTGGACCTGCATATTTCGGTCTCACAAGGTGCTGTGCACGTATTCTTACGGGAAAAGAATCCTGACCTGGGTCTTTCACCATTTGCCTTGACTGTTTGGAGGCTGGAAGAAGACCGCAAAACTTGGAGGAAACTATGTGCAGGGTTGGTGAAGGGATCAAGGTCACATGAAATGGATTCTTGTGGTCCACCTACCCTCCATCCAGGGAAGCCGGAAGTTGTCTTCTTCACTCGTCGCTGCAATATTTCCTTTCCTCCCCAATTCACCTCCGTTAAGATGAAGACGCACGATGTGCTGTCCTGCAATTTGAAGACGGGTGGAGAGCTGGAGTTGTTTGCTGATGTTCACAATTACCCAAGTTTTTGGAGACTTTTCCAGGCTGAGTTCTCCTGCTGGCCGACTTCAATACCAAAGTACGAGGAATTGCGAGTTGCATATGATGGAAGCCACAGCTGCTGGGCTCAGAACGACAACACGCCAGTAACACCTCCCTGAATAGCTGGTAATTGCTTCTGATTGTCAGTCCCTGCTAGGGTTAGTTATGCACTGGCCGAAATGAAAATGACTAGGCATGCATTAGTAGTAATAATGAGAGAGTAGAAAAGTAAGGGGAAAATTTCCTTATTCCCCTTACAGGATTATAGGAGACATATCGAGCCTGCTCACTAAATAACTGTTTCCTCGCACTTAACATATTAAGCTGCTCACCGATGCATGTCTTCTATCTAATTGCATGAGAATTTTGTTCTGTTTTGCAGACTCTTTGGTCTTTTACGATAAACTTGTTCTGGTTTCTGATCATATCTCCCATCTTGTTTATGTTTGGTTGGGTTCCGTAAACCTCTTGAATGTCTGTGGCCTCAACTGTTGTCCAGTTTGTAGCGGTTCAATAGAGAGAGTTACCGGCACCCGGTGAGAGTTGAATTTGCGATGGAAATAGCAATTGTTATCTGCAGTTTCATGTTTTTTTGTTTAAAATGAGATTTTCCTACTGTTTAATCCGTATGTTTCACTGCAATGGATCATTGCATCTGCAATCGAAAATCTGGCACTGGAATGCACGCTGACAAATTTATGGCTTGTTGTGTATTGAAAGTGGAACGCCCTTGTGGCGACGGCAAATTAAGCAGGTAGTAGTCATTTGTTAGGTCTGTTGTGTGATATGAAAAATTGATATGTAGGGTTTCCTGCATTGCACGCCTGCTGTAGCCTCAGGGATTAAAAGCTGCAGATGATGAACGTTGATTGATGCGAGCCTGATCATAAGGATTTGCTTCTTGTTCTTTGATACAAGCCCTCCATGTTTTGCCTTAATGCTCCCTTACCTGAACCTCAGATACTGTCGTGCTAAGTCGATAACTTTGGCGAATATCTACAGATCTAGACTACTCGACCTCTGCCCGAGATTCTACGATTCTTGGTAGCTAATTTTGGAACTTCACTTGCTTTATTGAGTGAATCATGTATACTTGTCCAAATACATAATCGTGACTCCATCTTGATTCTTGAGGCATGGCTATTATGTAGTGTCCTTTGGTATTTCGTTTTGGTAGGCCATTGTATCGTCATTTCGACGAAAAAATAAGTGGAAGATTAAGCAATGAACTTTTGGGGAAAACTCATTCTCAACTTTTTAGTTTGGACGTGAATTGGACACGGATCAATGGATACCCAAAAGAAGAAAATGATACTATCTACGCCACTCTTTCTCGATCTCGCTCAAAATGAAGCACCCGACGACTCTGTCCAAAATCATTAAAAGTGCATTTGGGTCTGACCCAATATCCATACGAGTCATGACAATTGGGTTAAATTACTCAACCGACGTCTCATTGTCGGACATTTCTTTCATTCTTGTATTATTGCATCTTCAATAATTCCTTCCACTTATATGCTAAATTTTTTTACTACCATATAAATCATAATTGTCATTAACGTAATGATAATATTTCCATCCAATTCACCAGCGGAAAAACGACATTATGGATAAGCTTCTTTGAAATATGATTTTGACCCGATTGTTTTTGTTGAGTTAATTCAAAAAAGAGATAAAATAATGAGTCAATTCGAATTTCGTATTCTCTTCTGGACAATCGAAATTCTCTTCAAATCAAATTAAATAGGAATTCCTCTAGTTAGCCTAAGGCTGACGACAGAGAAATGAATGGTGATGAGAAAGGGACGAATGAAGAAGATGAAGAATGAAACGCAAGAGCGGCATCCGAATTCGGCAACTTTTTAAAAAGGTTTTGATTTCAAACATTCGGCACGCCAACTCACGACACCCAGAAGCCAGATTAGATATATCTCTTGCAATTCTTCATTTTTCTTTTCTTTCTTCCTTCGTCAAGCAACAGCAACCAGCAAGTCTTCCGCCCCCCTGCCTCCTTCCATCTCTGCCTCTGGTGGGTCTCACCCGATTCCTTCAGTAATCTCCGGTTTTCCTTATCTGGGCTCGTTTCTGGTGGATAGATCTGCATATTTAGCCATTTGTTTCTTGCTATTGTGAAGGCTTCTGGGTTTTGGTCGCCTTAACCTGGAATTTGCTTCTTCTCCTTTTGCTAGTGCTTCTCTTGAGCTCTGCTTAGTTCTTCATTTCGTGGTATGTCAACTGTATTGCTGTCGGTTTGGATGTTTTGGTTGGTGAAATGTGATTTGTGTTCTTTTCCATTTTGTTTCGATTGCTGTGTAGCCGCTTCACCATTCTAGCTATGCTTGATTTCTTACCGTTATACCTATTGTCACGCAATTGTCTTTTGTTGAATTGTTCAATTCCTCAGAGGCTGGATTCTCCAAAAGCCTTGAACTTTCGCTTTTCAAGCAGGCCAGCATGTTATGTATTTTTAGTCTACTGCCACCATTTACGACTGCAATTCTATTGCCATGAGCTTCTTGATACGTAGACTTGCTAGCTGAATTGGTTAGCAGCCTTCCTTCTAAGCGGTTCATGCAAAATTTTCAGGGATTGTAGTTTGCTAGATAATGGACGGAACTGTTGTGAGAAGGGTCATTCCCTCGGACAATTCTTGCCTCTTCAATGCCGTTGGGTACAGTTCTTCTGGTCTATATGTTTGCTTCATACATTGTTTATCGTTAGTTTGTCGGGATGGTTTTCTCATCCTTTTTTGCACTATGCCTGTTTGGATAAAATTTCACATGCAGATATGTTATGGACCACAACAAAAATAAAGCTCCTGAGCTTAGACAGGTTCTCATCTAATCTCTTTGCTTTATGTATGCTTTGTTCCCGCGTTCCATTTTTACTTTATTTGATAAATGTTAAATTGAAGAAAACAGTAGTGTTAGCATAAACTGCCTCTTGATTACTGGTATGAAATTAATGTTAAATCGAATATATATATAACAAACTTAAACATGCACGATGAATTTCTTAGGTAGACTAGCATGTCGATCATAGATTACTTTTATGCTTAGTGCGTGAATACTTGATTACTGATCTGAATAATTTTTAATCAGAAAACTGTTGCACCATTCAACCATGCCAAATTCCTGTTCTTTCTGTAGACTGGCTTACAAAATGAAGTGAGATTGATTGAGGGATTCAAGCATTTTGTAGTATATATGTTGTCAGTTTTCAGAAGTTAGATTGACAATGAATCAACAATGATATTGCATGATAAGAATTGGTGGGCACTGTCCTGTTGACTAGCTAAGCATAGATGCTCCCATTGCCTTTGCTTTGATGAGTTCAAAAGCGCTTTGTTCCATCTCTTATACCTTTCAAAGTATTGGTTTACTGATCTTCTGTTTGATTGTGATTCCCTTGAAGGTTATAGCTGCAACAGTGGCAAGTGATCCAGTAAAGTACAATGAAGCATTCCTTGGAAAACCAAATCAAGAATATTGTGCATGGATTCTTGATTCGGAGAAGTGGGGAGGTATGTTTGCTTGTTTCCTGTAGTCTGGTTGAGAGGATATCCCATAAGCAATTTCATTTACCTGTGCTGCTTACATCCTGAGAACTCTTATCGGAGAACTTAGTGAAATGCTTATTTCAAAATGAGCAAAGTATATAAACAACCATATCCGTGAGCAAAAACCGATAGAAGGTTTTACAAACCTGCTTAATACCCTAATGACCGTCATCCCATTCTGTAGAAAATGTACATTGAACCTTGTTCTATGACAATACATAGAGCAGCTCCTGATTATTAATGTACAAATCACTTATAGACGGTTCAAAGTTTGTTGCATCTATATCCCTTAACCATAAATTGTTTGCCTACCATGTGAAAATCAATGTTCCATGTTCGGCTTCTGAAGTCATCCTAGATGTCTTTTTGGCCATCCTTCTATTATGAACTGGATGATTGGGATCAAATTCTCTAAATGCATTAGCTTCTAATTGTGATTGAATGGGTTAGTTTCTGTCCACCCTCTTCGTAGCCAATGCATACTTGTTTTTAACAAAAGCATATGAAAAATATAACATGCATGTACTTGTTCCTGACCTGTCAAGCTAGAGCAATATCCCTTTTTCATGTACATTCTCTTCCTTCTCACGTGAAGGTGCCATTGAGCTTGCAATATTGGCCGATTATTACGGACGTGAAATTGCAGCATATGACATTCAAACCACTCGATGTGATTTATACGGTCAGGTAAGTAGTGTCATGATTACTTTAGTCTTGAGTTAATAGTAGTTATCCTCTGAATTGCCAAATTTGATTTTTCGATCTTTTTTTTTATGTTAACAGGACAAGAAGTACTCTGAAAGAGTGATGCTCATCTATGATGGTCTCCACTATGATGCTTTAGCTGTATGTCTCCTCTTTCATCTTCCACCTGATGATTTTGATTATATTCAGATTTCGCCAAGCAGTTAGAAAGCTAGATACTGACTTAAAAATGTATGCCTCCTTATTGGTTGCTTCTCTTGCCATTTGCCCATAAACAGATGTCACCAGTTGAGGAAGCTCCCGAGGAGTTTGATCAGACCATATTTCTAGTCCAAAGGGACAGGACAATTGGGCCTATTGAGGGGCTTGCTCTTAATCTTGTTAAGGATCAACAAAGGTAGTGCTTCGTATCTGATGTACTTTGATCAAGGGAATAACTGTTTTCCTTTCTTTCCAAGACAGGTTTCATCCTGCTGATAAAGAAACTTCCATACTTGGCAGGAAAAGAAGCTACACAGACACTGCAAACTTCACACTAAGGTGTGGCGTATGCCAAATTGGTGTTATCGGTCAGAAGGTACTTGCTTCTTCTTAGTAACCCGTCTACTGCAATTTCTTTTCGTTCTTCAACTGCACTGGCTTAGATTGTGTCGACTTATATGTTCTTTACTTGAATGTCAATGTTCAGGAAGCCGTGGAGCATGCACAAGCTACTGGGCATGTCAACTTCCAAGAATATAAATGACAAAGATCTCCGTGGAACTACTGTTATTTTCTTTGAACCACAGTGTATTGGATTCTTCAGTAGCCAAGAATTGAATTGCAAACTTCTTTCAACTTTCGTGTTGTAGCTCA